ATCATTCAAGCTCAAGACCACTCACCAAATCGAGCCCAAAGTATCGTTAGCCCGTGTGGTTATATTTACATGGAAGGACACATCTGTCTAGGGCTGCACAATCGGTTAAAACCGAACCGAACCGACCGAAAATTCGGTTAACCGAATTTTCGGTTCGACCAATATTAAAACCGAAAACCGAACCGAAAACTACGGTTCGGTTCGGTTTGACACCGAAAATTTATCGGTTGTTTCGGTTCGGTTATCGGTTATCCGATAAAATGGAGAAATGACAAAAATAAAATTTACAAATAACAATAGATACAGATTGTCTCCAATAAACCAGTATTCAATAAATGCACAACTCTCAGAAATCATCTGAAATTCAGAATCCTATTCAATTCAAGAGCAAGCCCATCAAAAAATTCAAGTTTTTTATTAGTATTACAGTAGGTCACAGAAGCAGATTGGTTCAACATGTCAGTATGTCACAACAATTTGGAAACCCACAAGACACAACCGTACAGCTCAAATCATAGGCATAAAAATTAACCCAAAAAAATATGAGCTCAAATTGGGTGGGTGCAACCCGTACAATGAATNCCAAACTTTTTTTTTTTGAGATAAAATCATTCTATACATGAACCAAATTTTTTTTATTTTATTTTTTTGTATTTGTAACGGAATGTATGCGGCAATTAAGGGTGGAGGATTCTATTTGTATGGTTATTTACTTGAGGTATATCTCTAATAAAATACTAGATTTTAGGTATAGATATAATTAAAATGGTTCCACTTGTAAACATGTAATATTTTGTATTTTTTATAGGAAGCGTGAAAATTTTCCGAAAGGTTGAGAGGCAACATTCTAGCCCATCTGCAAAATCTGTGAATGATTTTATTAGGTTGTTAGTCTAACCATAGTTTTTGAACCTTGACCCGGTGATTGACCTGGGCTAAACTTTGACTAGCCGGGTCACCGGTCCGATTCTCTCCCATTGTCTATCATTGAATCGATTAATTAGTCTCATATTATTTTAAATAATACTTATATTATTTTATGTTATAATTATATCATAAATTAATAAATAAATTATTTATATCTAAATTTTATATCTCAGAGTCTTAATATAT